GTTTCGTGTTCTGTCCTGTGTTGATACTTTTAATACCCTATTAATATCCCCCTTGTTATGTCCATTCACCCACTTGTAAACCTCTATCATGTCGCCCCTAACTCTTCGCCTTTCCAGTGAATGCAACTTAAGCTTTGTTAATCTTTCTTCATATGAAAGATTTCTAATTTGGGGAATTAACTTAGTCATCCTACGCTGGACACGTTCAAGTGAATTTATATCCATTCTATAATATGGCGACCAAAACTGAACTGCATAATCTAAATGGGGCCTAACTAGAGCAAGATATAGCTTGAGAACCACACCAGGTGTCTTGTTACTAACGCTGCGATTAATAAATCCAAGTGTCCGATTTGCCTTATTACGAACATTTATGCATTGATCCTTTTGTTTTAAATTCTTACTAATCATAACTCCCAGATCCCTTTCGCAATCCGACTTCGCAATCACAACACCATCTAGCTCGTATCTTGTAACTCTATCATCATTACCTAACCTCAGAACTTTACATTTATCAGCATTAAACTGCATCTGCCAATCCTTTGACCATTTCAAAACCCTATCTAGATCAACTTGAAGTGATAGTGAGTCCTCCTCCGAATTAATTTCCCTACCGATTTTCGTATCATCGGCAAATTTGCAAATGTTGCTACTCAAACCTGAATCTAAATCATTTATATATATTATAAACAACAGAGGTCCCAGGACAGAGCCTTGAGGCACTCCACTTACAACATTTTCCCACTCTGACTTGATTCCATTTATACTAACTCTCTGTTTCCTTTGGTATAGCCATGCCCTAATCCAGCTTAATATAGCACCCCCAATACCATGAGACTCTATTTTTTTAATCAGTCTTTCATGTGGCACTGTATCAAAAGCTTTGCTAAAGTCAAGGTATACAACATCGCAATCCTTACCACTATCAACTGCCTCAACAATGCTAGAATAAAAAGATAACAAATTTGTTAAACATGAACGGCCATTTATAAAACCATGTTGCGACTCAATTATTAATTTATGTTTTTCAAGATGAAGACGAATTTTATTTGCTATTATAGATTCGAGTAACTTTCCCACAATAGACGTTAGGCTAATTGGTCGATAGTTAGACGCAAGTGATCTATCTCCTTTCTTAAAAACTGGTATCACATTAGCAACTTTCCAAAACTCTGGCACTCTGCCTGACTCTATTGATTTATTAAATATGGTTGACAGTGGGTCACAAAGCTCCTCTTTGCATTCTTTAAGCACCCTAGCAAACACTTCATCCGGCCCTGGGGATTTGTTTGGTTTGAGTTTTACTATTTGTTTAAGAACATCCTCCCTGGTAACTGCTAAACTCGTCAACCTGTCCTCGTCCCCACCCACATAGACTTGTTCGGCTGAAGGCATATTGTTAAGTTCCTCTTTAGTAAATACAGATACAAAATATTTATTAAAAATACTACTCATCTCTTCATCACTATCTGTTATTTGACCTGTCTCAGTTTTTAATGGACCTATCCTTTCCCTAGTCTTAGTACGATATAACTGAAAAAACCCTTTAGGATTTGTCTTTGCTTGCCCTGCTATGCGAACTTCATAGTTTCTTTTTGCTTTCCTTATCTCTTTTTTAACATTTCTAACCAGTTGTACGAATTCCTGTTCTAAAGTGACCTCCCCATTTTTAATCCTTTTGTACCAAGCTCTCTTTTTACCTATAAGGTTCTTCAAATTCTTTGTTATCCACTTTGGGTCATTAGTATACGATCTATTCAATTTGTATGGTATACTACGTTCCTGTGCTTTGTTTAGAATATTCTTAAATAAGTTATATATTGAATCCACATCGAAATCCCCATTTAAGTCACCTATCGCTGGGTTCATGTCTCGCTCCAAGACCGGCCCACACCCCATACCCAAGCCTTTCCAATCAATTTGACCCAAAAAATTTCTTAGGCTATTAAAATCAGCTTTTCGAAAATCTGGCACTTTAACAGAATTTTCTCCTACTGGTCTATTCCATTCTATGCTAAATCTGATTTCTTTGTGATCACTGCTCCCTAGCTCACTCCCTATTTCGATGTCATTAATTTGCGTTTCCCTGTTAGTTAACACTAAATCTAAAATATTATTTTCCCGTGTTGGTTCCTTAATGTGTTGCGTAAGAAAGCAATCGTCAATTAATTATAGAAAATCTTCTGCTTCACTATTCCCTGTTTTGTTCAACCAGTTTATTCCGCTAAAATTAAAGTCACCCATGACATAAATACTGTTAGATCTAGATGCTCTAGATATTTCATCCCATAGATGCTTTGCTTCCATTCTGTCTAAATTTGGTGGCCTATATATTACTCCTATTATAATATTATTAGCTTTTTCGTTTAATTCAATCCAAATAGTTTCTGTGTGTGGCTCTGTTTTGATTCCCTCTTTGAGACTACATTTCAAATTGTCCCTAACATATATGGCTACTCCACCTCCTTAACACCATCCAGATCGTATCTTGTAACTCTGTCATCATTACCTAGCCTCAAAACTTTACATTTATCAGTATTAAACCACATTGGCAAATCTTTTGATCATTTCAAAACCCTATTTAGATCAACTTGAAGTGATAGTGAGTCTTCTTCCGTGTTAATTTCCCTACCGATTTTTGTATCATCTGCAAATTTTCAAATGTTGCTACTCAAACCTGAATCTAAATCATTTATATGTATATTATAAACAATAGAGGTCCTAGGACAGAGCCTTGAGGCACTCCACTAACAACATTACATAAGAACATAAGAACAAATGTAACTGCAGAAGGCCTATTGGTCCATACGAAGCAGCTCCTATTTATATCCACCCAATCTCACTCATATACATGTCCAACCCACGCTTGAAACAATCGAGGGACCCCACCTCAACCACGTTCCGCGGTAATTGGTTCCACAAATAGCTGTGGGAGCTGTTATATTATTCCATAAGTGATCCAAGGTAATCACCATCTGGTCACCATTTGGTCCGGGAGACATCTCCCGTCACGCAGGGTGCAGTTGCACCTCCACAGATCTCCAGTATCATCTATTGATACTGGTGATGGCTCAAAAGGGCCACCACTTACGAGCTATTCATGCCTGTTCCACCTTTTGGGTGGCTTCATCTTCATCTTAACACATTCACAAGGGAGACATCTCCCGTCATGTAGGGTGCATTCGCACATCCACAGATCTCCAGTATCAGCTCCTGGTACTGGTAATGGCTTAAAATGGCCACCACTTACGGGCTATTTATGCCCGTGCCACCTTTTGGGTGGCTTCATCTTCATCTTAACACATTCACAAGGGAGACATCTCCCGTCATGCAGGGTGCATTCGCACCTCCACAGATCTCCAATATCAGCTCTTGATACTGGTAATGGCTTAAAATAGCCACTACTTACGGGCTATTTATGCCCGTGCCACCTTTTGGGTTGCTTCATCTTCATTTAAAACACATTCATAAGGGAGACATCTCCCGTCATGTAGGGTGCATTCGCACCTCCACAGATCTCCAGTATCAGCTCTTGATACTGGTAATGGCTTAAAAGGGCCACCACTTACGGGCTATTCATGCCCGTGCCACCTTTTGGGTGGCTTAATCTTCATCAATCAATCACCAAGGTAATGGCAGATGTTTGAGTGACTCGGGTGGGCTTGGTGATTGTGGGGATTAGCATACAGGAGTGCATGCTGTTGCGGAAATAGTCAACTTGAGGGTTATTTTGAAGACCCAGGTCAATATTGAAATCGCCTCCTAGAATGATGTGATTTTTGTTGAGATTGTTATTTATGATAAGATTCCTTACGTTGTCTGAGAATGAAGCTATGTTGGTATTAGGAAATCTATAGATGGCACCGATAGTCAGCGAGAATTTAAGGGATTTACTGGAGAACTTGGCAAAGGTATATTCACAATAGTCGTCTTTATCACTAATGACACTATTGCAGATGAAGGTATCTTTGTAATATATTGCTGTGCCACCTCCTTTTTTATTAGGCCTGCAGTTATGAATGGCTTTATAACCAGCTAAATTGTAGAGTTGGGTAGTCTTTACTTTGCCAAGTTTCTGTTAAAATGATGAATGATAATTTAGTACCTAGTGCTCTGAGTAGTGCATTAATATCATCAAAATGTTTACCAAGTGACCTAACATTTTGGTTGTAAACTGATAAGCAGAAGAACTTTTACACAAAAGACATTTACAGACAGGCGTGTGGCTTCTGACTTCTTTTTTATTGATTAACATTAAATGTTAGGCGCTTACCTATAATAGTCATCATTTTATACAAGTATAACTATCACATAATAAATATAAAAGGAGTTTATCCAAAAACTGACAGAAGTGTTGTGTTGTGTGTGTTGTATCGTGTTTGTGGGCAGTTGTGTTTATGCTGGCGGGTGGCCGTCCTTAACAACTCCGGGTTATGTCTATTACATCACTAAACTTCATTTAATAACTATATGCCTGTTATGTAGAAGATTTTAATTGTTAATAGCATTATATTGTCGTTTTAATGTGGAACACGTACACATATGTGAAACGTCCAACAATGGTGTCCGAAGTGGTAAAAATATTAGTGTGCGATGTTGTCAATGTACAGAGTGTCTTGTATCCTTCTATATAGCATGCATATAAAAAACTCCGCTCGAATAAGATTGGAACGTTGTGTAAAAACATCAAAGCAATCAGTGAAGAACTTTTGGAGATTAGCGATTTTGAACAAACGAACATTTTCATTTTTATTTATATAGATAATATAGTTTACCCTAACTGTTTATAAAAGAAAACCAAAAAGTTGAGAATACCACAAGCAACCGACGCGGCGACATTACCACAACAACAATCGCCCCTAAATCAACATCTTTCCATCAGGGCGCACTTGGTCTTCTCCCTAAATCAGCAACAACAACTAATGAATCACGCATCCCAGACAACACCAGGACCTAATTACCCAACCCAGTAGGAGTGTTGTGTTTCCAGGAGACGCGACATGTCACAAGAACACTCTTGCAGCCATCTGGAGGAGGTAACCTTTTCTGAAACCCTACAAACCATAAAAATGAAACCTCACCAGTGTCCAGAGTGTGGCAAAAGATTCAGTCATCATGGAAGTATGAAGACACATATGTTGATGCATACAGGTGATAAATTGCACGAGTGCCCTGAGTGTGGTAAAAAATTTAGTCAACTTGGAAACATGAAGAGGCATATGACGGTTCATACAGGTGATAAATTGTATGAGTGTCCGGAGTGTGGGAAAAAATTCAGTCAACTTGGATCTGTGAAGACTCATATGACGGTGCATACAGGTGATAAGTCTCACACGTGTCCAGAGTGTGGAAAAAGTTTCAGCCGTCTTGGATCTTTGAAGACTCACATGTCGGTGCATACGGGTGATAAACCTCACAAGTGTCCAGAGTGTGAGAAAAGCTTCAGTCGTCTTGATAATATGAAGTCTCACATGTTAGTGCATACGGGTGATAAACCTCAAGAGTGTCCAGAGTGTGGTAAACGATTCAGTCATCTGGGAAATATGAAGACTCACATGTTGGTGCATACGGGTGATAAAATTCACAATTGTCCAGAGTGTGGGAAAAGCTTTGGTCGACTTGGAACTATGAAGGCTCACATGTTGGTGCATAAAGGTGATAAGCCACATAAATGTTCAGAGTGTGGAAAAAGCTTCAGTCGTCTTGATAATATGAAAACTCACATGCTAGTGCATACAGGTGATAAAGTGCATGAATGTCCAGAGTGTGGGAAAAAATTCAGTCAACTTCAACATATAAAGAGGCATATGTTGGTTCATACTGGTGATAAATTGCATGAGTGTGCCGTGTGTGGGAAACGATTTAAGCACCGTAAAAATATAATACGTCACATATTAGTGCACCCCGGGGATGAACCTCAAAAGCCACCAGGTGATGTGGGTGTTGAATAAATCTTGAGTACCATTCAATTACATTGTACAGTATACTATCTGTACATAACTTTCTACTAATATCATATTCCCTGTGGAAACTCTGCTTCATATTTAAAGTATAGTACTATTAGTGTATCAAATGTTTTACCTACAGGTATAGAAATTTTGAGGTTGATTTAAAAATTTTTTAAGATTTTATTTATTTATTTATTTATTTATAAAAAATACTGTAATAACCCCTCCCAGCGAGCATAAGAAATATTGCCGGAACAACCATGAACATCTTCAAGAGAAAACTAGATAGTTTTTTCCAAGGAGTGCTGGACCAACAGGGCTGCAGGCTGCTGCAAGCAACAGCCTAGTGGACCAAACTCTCACAAGTCAAGCCTGTTCCTCAGGCCGGGCTTGGGGAGTAGAAGAACTTCCAGAACGCCATCAAGCAGGTATCACCATGTCATTTGGATGTTGCACAAAGTTATTTTGGTTTTTATTTTTGTTTATGTGAAAAATATGCTTGGCTGTGGAAGGCAAAGCTCTGCAGGATTGGTATTTGTCGCTTTTTATCTTTTGCTCTTTCGGCAAATTTAGATTTACCTCATCAACTAAGCAAGATAAAACAAAGTTTAGACCATGGTCTTTTCATATATTTATTCAGTAATTACTTTATATAGTTGTTTAACTTTAATATATATTTTTTATTATTTATTTATTTAAATAAATACTGATTTTTTTAAAATCTTATTCCTTTAAGAAATAGATTTCAAATATTAGAGCCCAGTGATTCCCAACCTGGGCTTTGCAGACTCCCAGGGGTTCACAAATGTAGCATTAGGGTCCTCAAGTTAAGTTAAAAATTTCATCCTCCCTCCTGATACCAATAACAAATGGATTTGGGATCAAATTTGTGTAGCTGTAATAAATGTAAATGATTTAACTACAAATGAACGAAACAGTCTTGTTGAACTTTGGTGTGTGGAATGTGGAATGACCTTCCCAATTATGTTAAAGACTGTACCTCTCCCAACCAGTTTAAGGTAAAAACTAAGTACTACCTAATTAACTCAATGTAACCTACCTCACCCCTAAATGTTTACCCATGTCTAAGATTTTAAACAATGCTGTTTGTTAACCAAATTGTATTTTTACTTTTTTTCTGCCATGTTCCCCTCTCCCCCTTTTTTCATTTTTTTTTCTGGACACAATTTATACTTTAATCTCAATTAGTATTAAGTTTTAGTCTTAATGTTCTTCCTGCCCGAAACGCTTTGCGTAATAGTAGCTTTAGGCATTGTATGTACTAGCTCTATCTATAAATCCATCAACTTTTGTATCTCACCTTGTATGTATGTACTTTACCTGAATAAATATTTGTATTTGTATTCGTACAGGTATTTGTATTTGTGTTACAACTCACAGAGGTCATATTTCATTCAGCACAACTTAGCAAACTTTTGGTTGCATGTGAAAAAGGGTACTGTACCTAGAACTGGCATCCAAAACACTGAGATATTTAATCCTATTTTGTATTGCATACTTATGTGAACAGGCTTTCTCCCAGCTGTTTTAAATTAAATAAAATTCAGAAACAGTGTGACTATAGAACCTGATCTATGCCTAAAACTGTCTGGCACTGAATTTGAAATTTGGAACATAGTGTCAACACAGCAGCATCAACCATCTCATTAATCAAGTAAGTGTTTTTAAAACTGCCATATATTTAATTGCATATTCAGCTGTGCATTTTTAATTGCTTTGGAAAAATTAATTTAAATACAGTACTGTACAAGTTGGTCCTTGGTGGTGAAAAGGTTAGGAACCACTGTTATGGTCTTGTTAACTATGTTAAGAATATTTGCTTTCATGAAATATTTAGGAAGGTTAAGAATATTTGCTTTCATGAAATATTTAGGAAAGGAGTAGCAACTATGTTAAGTTTTTTTTTTCATTAAACATTTGGGAAAGAAGCAGCACAAATATTTGAAATGCACTAAATATTACCCCATTTTATTGACTGGAATAGTAAAAATACATTTTCATTCAGATATTAGAAATTCATCAGAATTCTTACTCCAACTGATTTGCATTTAATGAATTTTTGTATTATCCTACTTCATAACTAATGTAAATGACCCCAGCATTTATATCTTACTAGCATTTATTTAACTAGACTTTGGTACTTATATTTGCCTGACTCAGACATTTATATTAACCAAGCCATTAATTATGTAAGCTTTACTTTGGAATTTCTATTAGCTTGATTCTAGGAATTATATGTCTTTTAGTCTTACATGTAAATTGAATCTGGCATTTCTTTTCGACAGACTTTTGCATTTATATTAGCCTAACCTAGTTGGCTTTACATTATTTAGGGAGCATTTAATTCAAACTGGTTAACCTAGGTTAGGCCTGTTTTCTGCTACTATTCATCTAATTATTTATAAATTATTACTTTTAAGTGTGTTTACTTATTAATTGATGTGATTTAATTTAATGGACAGGACTAAATTTAAATACTGTATTCTTAGTATGTTCAGCTTAGACCTATACGCTACAAGATACAAGAAGCCAATAATGATTTGTTATGTAGTTTAATTGATTATTTTAATGGATTAACAATGTACTGTATAGTTATAGCTTATTTATTATTAGTATATAATGTTTATTAATATAATAAGGTGTAATTCTTGACCCATAGAATGTATGCATTAATTATTATATAGAACTTGTATGACAATTATCAATACGTTCATTGTCACTGTTCACTCACTGTAACAAGTAGTATTATAGATTATATTTAACAGTTTTCTCTACATACACAGCCACTGTTCACTCTGTAACTGGGAGTATTATAGAACATACATGACAGTTATTTTTGTAAGGTCACTCTTCACTCACTGTAACAAGGAGTATTATAGAACTTACTTGGTTGTTATCTCTATATACAAGGTCGTTGTTCACTCACTGTAACTAAGTGAGCCTGATGACTGAGTGGACAGCGCTCTGGATTCATAATCCTACGGTTCCGTGTTCGATCCCTGGCAGAGGCGGAAACAAATGGGAAGAGTTTCTTTCACTCTGATGCTTCTGTTTTCCTTGCAGAAAATAGGTATCTGGGAGTTAGACAACTGCTACGGGCTGCTTCCTGGGGATGTATAACAAAAAGGAGGCCTGGCCGAGGATCGGGCCGTGGGGACGCTAAGCCCCAAAATCATCTCAAGATAACCTCTAGATAACTTCAAGAAGTGTGTTATTGAACTACTAGACCTTGTGTGTAAGTATCTCTACATACAAATGACCTTGTAGGTAGAGATAACTGTCAGGTAAGTTCTATACTACTACTAGTTACAGCAGATGAACAGTGATTTTGTACATAGAAAAACCTGTTAAATAAGTTTTATAATACTCCTTGTTACAGAAAGAGAATAGTAACTTTTTATGTAGAGATGGCTACATACAAGGTTACTGTTCACCTATTAACAAGCAGTATTATAATACTAATTTGACAGTTATCTCTACATACAAGGTGTCTGATGACTCACTGTAACTAAATATTCTTATAATTAATATACAATGTTGCTTCATGTAAAGTTGTATATTTATCCTCTGAGAAGTGTTCATTTTGTCACTGAAATACCTTTAAGTCATAATTCCTAGTTATTAGGGAAATTGGGGAACCAACAAAGTAAATTATAACACTGAAAAGAAAGTAATTATTATCATTCAGAAATTACGTGACAAAAATGTGACTAGTTAATGAGCACGCAGTGGTCACTAAATGATCAATGGTTATATAGCTAATTATAATACTGAGTAATTAGAGGTAAATATCTCTAGCATGACTTCATACTGGGCTATAGCATCCACATCTCCATATATTTTTCCACAACCACTTTGTAACACCTTGAGATGGTTAGCACGACACTGAATACACTGACCAAAAGGGCCAAAACTCACCTCCCGCAAGCTCAAATAGGTGAGTACAGTACATGATATTCCTAACTAGGAAATAGGAATGACAGTATAAATTACAGGATGTATGCCATTTTGCTTTCACATTCCAATGTATTGAAATTGCTATGTTGTTGGAGCATCTACTACTACCTTCCACCAGTTGTTGGGACATTCACAGCCACCCTCCACTAGTTGTTGGGACATTCACAGCCACCCTCCACCAGTTGTTGGGACATTCACAGCCACCCTCCACCAGTTGTTGGGACATTCACAGCCACCCTCCACCAGTTGTTGGGACATTCACAGCCACCCTCCACCAGTTGTTGGGACATTCACAGCCACCCTCCACCAGTTGTTGGGACATTCACAGCCACCCTCCACCAGTTGTTGGGACATTCACAGCCACCCTCCACCAGTTGTTGGGACATTCACAGCCACCCTCCACCAGTTGTTGGGATATCCACACCCACCCACTACCAGCGAACCACTAGTTGTTGGGGCACTCCACAACCATCCACCACCGACTACAGAGGGCCACATGCTTTCTGGATGTCACTTATCTGGATTTGCCTGTTATCAGTTTTGGGTTTGCCCAAATGAAAAAGTCCAAGTAACTGGCGAGGTGAGTGGTCCAAACAAAATGGTGCGATTAACTGGTGAGGCAGGTAGTCCGAAAAAAATGTGAGATAAAGTTGTGAGGCCACCAGGCCTCGCTGCCTGGTGGGGGTGGGAGATGGGACTAATTTGTCTACTAACTAACTCATTAAATAATAAGACATGTTCCTGCAAGAAGTACTGGATCAAATAGGTTGTACAGTATTTGGTCTGCAGTCTGCTCCAAGATTGTTAGACCAAGTAAGTCGAACCTTACCCCAGACCCAGCTTGAAGAGTAGAAAAACTCTCAGACATGCCCCAGGTATGATTCATATATGATCACCAGCTGCTGGGCCTATAAAACCACCCGCTACCAACGACCACCAGTTCCTGGGACCAACACATCCACCCACTACCAACGACCACCAGTTGCTGGGCCTACACAACCACCCACTACCAACGACCACCAGTT